CTAGCATTTACTAGATATAGGGTAGTCTGGTATATAAAAGAGGGTGACAACGTGACAGAACAATGTGTGTGTAGACAGTAAGTAATTGATCTGCAGTCAGAGAGTATTATTGAGCACGTTCGTTGTTATAGCGTTTGTTTTAGCGCGATTGTTGAAATCAAGTGTATCGTGAAGTTGTATTCGGAAAGAATAAACCAGTTTTATTAAGTAAGGACTTGTGTCGCTAAAGTTTCGTCGGAACGAAGTTACGGGAAGTTAATTAACAAACGGAGACGTAACAAGACCATTTCGAAATTAACATAATCTCAAGGGAATACAAAATTTAAAATAACTATCCGCTTATTAAAAGTATTGTTTTGTTTTTTTAATAACCAGTAGTTACTACTATCACTCGTTATGATCTTATTAAAAGTCGTTATTTAATTGTGTATGCAACTTTTGCTTTCAGAATACAAAGACAATGACTAAAGCTGATGACAGTGACGACAGTGATTTCATAACCACAGATTCTGGTCGTCACAGTTTCCAAACTGAAGATGAAAATGACCGACCAGAAAACGAAGAAATACTGATTGACATTCCTACGATCCGCCCACCTGCGGGCTTTCGATCCCCAACAGAAGAGGATTGTCTCAGTGAGGACCAAGAACCCCACAACTTCATTCGAGAGGTGGATCCTCTCGTATCGAATGTGGATTTGGGCCTTGACTGGAGTTACCCCAAAATACCCCAAGTCAAGATTATACCTTATACACAGACTTTTTCTAGGAATAGTGAACTAGTCATGAGAAGATCAGCCGACAAAAACACAGACTTTGTAAATGGAGAAATGAAGTATTCTCAAAACAATGACAATTTCGAAAAAGTTGTCATTCTTTCGAAATTAATGGAGACGCTCAAAACAAGTCTACACGAAACAGAAAAACTAGCCCTTGTCAGGGTTACGAACACGAGGTTCACCACAGAAAAACTAGCCCTTGTCAGGGTTACGAACACGAGGTTCACCA